GAATGAAAAATCAACTCAATGATGACAAATCAACTCTCTTGATTCATGCTAGGTTCCCACAAAGGGTTACAAACTTCTCTTCAAGAAAAACTTTGCTGAAAGCTCACTCAATGATTAAAATTCATAAAATTTCAGTTCTCTACAAGTTTTGAGAATGAAAAAGTTATATAGAGTTTTCTATCTGAAATAATAAATTATTTTGATGAATAATCAATTATTTTTTTCTTTGCAAATCTAAAAATTTACCAAGAACAATTTAATCGATTATTTCTAAGGATAATTTATTATTCCACAAGCTACTGAACAAAATAATCAATTATTTAGTCAGATAATCAATTATTACCGTAACCATTTCTCAAGTTATTGAAAAATAGAGCAAATAATTGATTATTACTAAATATAATCAATTATTTTGAGTAAAAGCTCAATATAACATCCTAATTTTCTTATTAAAAATATTTATTTCATAATTAACTATTATATGTTGCTAAAATTAAATATGTTGGTTTTAATAGTTATTTTAAGTTTTTTTTATATGAATATATTTATATATTATAAGGTTTATAATTAGAATGTTTATATTGTTGTTATGGTTGTTATTATTATTATTATTTTATTAAGGGGAAGAGAAATTGTAATTGTGTCAGGTATTTTAACTAGAGGGTTAAAAAGAGGTTAAGTTTTAAAAGAGTAATTTTTTCTTAACCAATTTTACACTTCTTTCATTTAACGTACATGCATTTCTTTTTGCTTCAAAGTTTGAAAGGAGAAGGGAACCACCTTAGAGTCATCTGTCCATTGTCTAGTGCTTATCAAGATAAAACAGGGAGTGAGAAACTTCGCTCTAAGTGTGAGGGTGTATGTTGGATAGTGAGATTAGTCTACAATCTTATTTTTGTTGTATGTTTATGTATGAGGATTTTTTTTTCAAATGTGTCTTTTATCTTCTTTATTTCTCCTTGTATGTTCTTATTGATGTAATTAGCATGTATGTGCTGGTAATTTTTGAGTTTAGCTTGTAATTGGATATTATAGTGTTTCTATGGATTCTTATGGGAAACTCTAAGTGAATGCATTAGTAGCTTGTATGAGGAGATGACTTAAGTATGTAATTTTATACATAAATTGTACTATTTAGAATGTTTATTACATGATTTGAAACACTTGTATTGATTATAATGTGAAATTGGAATTTTTCGATGGATTTCTGTGAGAACCTTAAAGGAGGTAATGGTTATTATGTGAGTAGTTAATAGAAGCATGTGATTATGTCCAATTGTTGCTTTCTAAAGTGTAATATGATAATTTTGAAGTGTCTAACCGATTGTGTAAATAGATTGATGAGTTGGAGAAGAAAATACGAAAATTACAGGTTGTAGAGTTTCTAATTGCAAAAACAACACTGAGCGTCATTTCTAGCACTAAGTGCCACAATGGCAGAGAATTAGAATTGTTTGTGACCCTTGGGCTAAGCGTGAGTTTCACGTTGATCGCAAAAATAACATTAAGCGTCATTTCTAATATTAAGCGTCACAATGGTAGAGAATTAGAATTGTTGTCTGTGACCCTTAGGTTGAGTGCGAGTTTTACGTTGAGCGTAATTCAACTAAAAAGTCAAGGTTACTATTTGAAAGTCCTATGTTGAGTGCCTAGTCTAGCGCTAAGCGTCAGTTGTCTAATTATGTTTCCTTCCTTCTATGCTCGATGAATCCTATCAGTGTGATGTGAATCTTATACTTCTTTTCTCTTGTGATCTATGAATGATAGTGATGTGATTCCTTGCATTATTGACAACTAACTTTTAATGAAAATACTTGTATTATTAATTATTATATTGAAAATAATTTATGAATATACAATATAAGATAAGTTTGTATGGTCGAATTGACATGATAAGGTGATATACTAAGGCAATGTGATAATGTGATATGATAATGTATAAAGTTTTGGTTGACTTGTATCATATATATAAATATTTTTAAGGGTACAATATGGAATACACTGTTAGGAAAGACCCTCTTGTATAAAAGTTTGGGAATCAGTCTTTGGGGATAACTTGGTTTAGATGTCTCGGTCTCACTCATTGTGTGCATAAGACATATCTTACTTGACTTAGTTATGTCGACTAAATTATGATAATATGTCCTCCTAGCGAGAGTACGTTGAGGGTGTGACCCGACATGGATTTTTAGGCTACTTTTTGTGTATTACTAGCGGCAATACATCTTGTAATGTTTTTACTGATATTATTTGCATGATAATATGAAGTCCATGTTCATTGCATATACATCCTACTATTATGTGGTATTTAATTATGGTGCATGAATGAATGAAATATAATAATAATAATAATAATAATAATAATAATAATAATAATAATAATAATAATAATAATAATAATAATAATAATGTGCTATGTTGCTTATATGTATTTTTTGTGTTTGAATATTCGATTGCATTCTTGTACTGTGGGTTAGAGTAAGATATTTCTTACTCCATTTTTATTTTGTATTATTTTCTTTTGGTTGTTATGTAAGTGATCATTAGTATGACTGTCAAAATGGGTGGACCTAACCCACCTCAACCCACTTTCTAAGTGGGTTATTCAACCCGAGCCACCAACTTTAATGCTCAAAATTTTCTAACTTGACCCAACCCACCAACCCACTTAATTTATAAAAAAAAAGTAATTTAAAATAAAAATTCTAATTTACAATAAACTCTAATATAAAATAACCTATAATCTAAAATAAAAATTATCAAACTATCATGCATACAACATTAAATTTAATTAAAAGTGTACAACTTTAAATAATTAAAGCAAAAAGAATAATTTTTTTTTTTATCTTTTGGAGTAATTGTCCATAAATATTAAACTTCGTTGGAGGCTTAAGTAAATAAATCTATAGTAATTTTGTGTTGTTTAACATCAATTTTATCTTCTTATAAAAAAATGACGATACCTTATTAAAATAATACATATATTACAATAATTGGTAAAGTGGGTCATTGATGTGGGTTAGATTGATGAGATGTGTAAGTGAATTAGGGGAGCAAGTCGACCCACCATAGATTTTAGCTTAAGTGGGTTAGGTCAAAAATGAGTTGAGTTAAATTTTTGGACCAATTAAGAGTTTTTTTATATAATTTTTTGGTCCCAACCTAGCCCATTTTCAAGGTGGGCTGGGTTTACCCACGAGCTAGAATCTACTTTAACAACTCTAATCATCAATATGAGGTTGAGAATATTGATGATGAAGTTTATACTTCAATTTTTGGATTTTGCTTTAATAAAATATGTGACATCGAGGTGTAGATATGACTAAATTATAATGTTATTTTCTATTGATTTATTTTGAAGACATTAGTTTTATTTCCTTGAAATTTTAGTTTGGTTACAATAGTTTGTTAAAGTTAACAATGTAATACTTTCTACTTGGACATTCTTTAGTTTTATTTATGAAGAGTATGTTATGCATTTTTATATTTATTTATCATCAAGCTAAAGGAAGAATCATAAACCAAATAATGATTTAGCACCTAACTAACAAAAGATCCAAATTACAACTTGCATGATCTTGTCTTTCAAGACTATTCATAATACATTTATAATCACAAAATATAAGATTTTTATCTTGAACTTGATAAATAATATATATAAATAAATATTATATTTGAATATATAAATTATATTTAAAATTTGTATAAATAAATATTTTTAAATATATAATTATATTTTAGATTTGTGGTAAATAAAATTTGCTGATTGATATGGTAGAGAGGAAAAAAAAAAAAAAGACATTTAGAAAACAAATTTTCATGTAAGAAAAAAAGTTGAAAAGAGTAAATTTTCTAAGTCAGAAAAGTTTGTGGTGTGTTGTTGATAAGTTTGTGAATTACATAGATATCTTATTTTATTAGAGTAAAATGATATAATGTAAATGCATTTTAATTTTAAATATAGATGATAATATTTTAGGTTTAATTTAATCCAGTTGTATTGACTAATTTTCATAATTTTTTTTATTTTAATTATTTAATATTAAATCATAAAATCTATAAAAATGTAATATATTAATTTTTTTTATAAAAAATAAATAATTATGTAGTAAATAAGTTTAAAATAAAATATGTAACTCACATCGATCAAATATACTTTAGTAATTTGTGAAAAATTTAGACCACGTAAAATTTACCACCATTAATTTTATTTTTAGTATATATAAAACTCATCTAACTTTTATAATAATAAAATGAATATAAAATACTCATATATTAGAAAAACAAAATGTTTTCATTGTAATTATAATATCAAATTATTACAAAATAGTAGTATAAAAAATAAAAAAAATCTTAAAATATTACTTAAGCAAATAAGATTCTTTATTTTTTATTAAGAGTTAAGTTTCTTTTTTCTATTTTGGATATTATAAACATAGAAAGTAAAAAAAATTAATGCTAATAATAAATATAAAAAATAATCAGATATTGTAAAAACGATTTTTTTAAAAATATTTCTTGAACAATTACGATTTTTTTTAATTATCCAGAGAATGAGAGAATGAAAAAAGAAAAATAAAAATAATGTTAAAACATCAAATAATATAGGGGGGAAAAAAAAAAGAGGGAAAAAAAAAAAAAAAGAACTGTGACGGATCAATTTCTGATGAGGGCCTCGCTGTTTGTAGTGGAGTTGTAAGAGACTCAGCTGGTGCATTTGTTCTGGCTTTTTCATGCAAGCTAGGAAACTGATCTATCACCAATGCTGAAATTTGGACTATACTTCATGGGCTTCGCATCATTCGGAATAACAACTTGATTGGCAGGATTTTAGTTAAGACAGATTCGTTTGCGGTTGTTAATCTCGTATCTTATGAGTGTGATAATTTTCATTCAAGTTTCAATCTCGTTAAAGAAATTCAAGAGTTGAGTATTCAGGTGTAGGTTGTTTCATACAGTCACATCTTTAAAGAAGCTAATAGAGTTGCTGATGCCTTAAATAGTTTTTCCTTACAAGAGAACTTTTTTTTTTAAATTGCCCCCTAATTGTATTATTACCTTGCTGCATACAGATTTATCTACCGTTTCTCAAGTTTAATATTAGTTTTTTGGGCTTTTAGTCCCCTTGTTTAAAAGAAAAAAAAAAAAGCATATACTTTCTTTTCATATATTTAATAGTAGATAGATTATTTTCTACGGTTACAATTACAACTTACAAGGAATTGATGAATGGCCCACAACTTAACATTACTTAGCCAAATTGGAAATAAATCCTGTTTATCAGTAAATTAAGTGTTATTTACTCATCTTCTAGTGTAACTTTTTCTTTTCTGACTTCACAATTCTACCCTCTTATACATTTTCTGATGTATTGTTTTGTTTAAGTAAACAAACTTAAAACTTAGGAGCAGCTTGTTTGGCAACACATGAGCATAAATAATTGCGACTTTGATGTCAGTGGCCCTGCGAATCATACGATTCTGAATGAGCATACGCTGTCAACTGTTGCATTTGCACTTGCAGCTCTTGATTCTTGGTTTCCTCAGCTTCTTGGACTAACTTGCTCTCATGATTCTGCATTTCTATTTTCTTTCCCCACAGAAGAATGTATAATCCGATAATCACCAAAATGGATCCCAGCACACTAAACAGCCAGGTCAACGAAAAACAAATCAGGTAAGGGTAGTTTCATTTTCTTCTTAACTCCTATTTAGTTACACATTTAATTAGAATATACTAAAGTGTAACACCACTTAATCATGAATTGCTATGTATTAGAATAATTGTATGTATTGAAGTAATTGTTAACTTTTATAATAATTGATTGTTATATACATTGAGTAATAGATAACTGTAGAACAATTGAGGAGCCACTGTAATGTGGGGCATTGGTGCACTATTGTAAGGTACTCTATATTATGTATGAGTATGAGGGTGTAAGTAAGTGTGTATAAAGTAAAAGAATTCACCTTCCAAGATGGAGCTGCTCATGCAAGACAGGGACATCAATCATGGCTGCTATTATCTGAACAAAAGGGCTGAATGCTGCTGTAAAAAGAGGACCCCTCTTCTTTACACACCATGACATGCCCACAAAACACAAACCCGATCCAACCACCCCCTGTAAACAAAATGTTTCACTTTGTTAAATGTTAACATGACATGAAACTGTTTCCAATTCTAAATCACTTTTCCTCCCTCCAACGTCACGTGTCATTACTATTTAGTATTTACTAGTATTAAATGCTTTTATCTTGTCTTTTTTCATGGCAGAACAACTCAAATCAGGAAACAGCATCACGCAAAGCTGTCCATAGCCTAAGAATTGGTCACCTTTTTCCAGACCACGAAACATACAGTTAGAAAATCAATTCTCACTTACCTTTTTTAAAGTAATTTCTCTCATTTTTTTTAAAGGATAAAACTTAATTGCAATTCCTTAAGTGTTTTTAGTACCTTTCTCTCATCAGAATTGAAGTTTGAGGTTAATAACTTATGTTAATCTTTCATGCAAACCTTTACTCTATGTCAAATGGTAATGACACTTGGACACACTCTATGGTGACTTGTAAAAGTGAACTTACTGCATAAAGAATGACAAATATCTGTATCTTTCCCTTGAGAACCCATATGGACAAGTTGTGGTCAGTGGAGAAGCAAATAACAGCTGATTGAATGACTCCAAAGAAGGACATGATGGCTGTGCTAGAATACTGGCGTGGATATCTCTTGCTTATTTTTGATTGTAAGATAAACCAAGAAGACCAAAAGATTGTTCCTAAAACCAACGCTATCACACCAATAGTCCATCCTGGTATTGTTCTTGCAAAATCTAGCTTAACTGCACTCTTGGCCACAGGAGCTGCAGGTTCATTATGAGAAAAATTAAAGAGTGGCTTTCCTTTGTAGAGTGTCAACATCAATGCACCACCTATGCACACCAGTGAACCAAGAATCTTGGCTATCCCACTGTTGCGTCTGATTTTCACGGTCTCTATTCTGAAAGAGAAAAAGAAACAAAAAGGACATGATTGCCCTGCATCAAGTGATGGTGACTTACTAAAAAGAAAATAGGAATATCATAGGTTTGAATTTTTATCCTACCCAAATGGTAATGCCATTATGAATGTGAGCACAGGCACTATGTTGATGAAAGCACCAGCAAAGGTGGCAGAAGTATATTGGATCCCCAGAAGGAAAAAGTATTGAGTGACTGATGTCCTATAAAAAAAAGTGCTATTTAGTGTTTCCCTACAATCATGTAAA